GCAGTAACAGCCTAGTTGATCAGGCCCTGATCCATCGGGAGGCCTGGTCATGGACCGGGCCGCGGGGGCGTTGATCCCCGGAATAACTTCCAGGTAACCTCCAAGTAACCTCCCAGCAGCGGGTCGAAATGTACAGATCAATTTATCTTTTAAGTTTCTGTCTTCATGTGGGTTATTATTGAGCATATACTTAGTATATATATATATATATATATATATATATATATATATATATATATATATATATAAATTTTATATATATATATATATATATATATATATATATATATATATATATATATATATAAACCTTAGGTAAGTTTATTATTGAAATAACGCCGTAATAACATCAGAAAAATAAGTCTGAAGGTCAAGAAACTAATATACTTCACTAAAGTTAATGATTATATAAATTAAAGCTTACCTAAGAACATAAGAAAGAAGGAACACTGCAGCAGGCCTACTGGCCCATGCGACGCAGGTCCAAGTCTCCTACCGGCTTAAGCCAATGCCCCAACCTAGTTAGGTCAGGTCACATTCACTTAAGGAAGGAACACGGCAACTGACCTAGTAGTACAATCTAATCAAGTCCAACTCACACCCACCCACACCCACTCATGTATTTATCTAACCTAAATTTACCAAGATTAGGGAAGCTGACCAAATGAGTTTCGGTGCTAATTGAAAAATTATGTTCCGAGTGAATTCACGGAAAAATATGGCGTCATGTGAAGATATTTTTTATAAAGAAATAATTTCAAGGTAGTAACAGTATTAGTAGTAGTAGCAACAGTAGTCGTAGTGGTATTAGTAGCAGCAACAGCAGTAGTGGTAGTAAAAGTAGCAGCAACAGTATAAGCAGCAGCAGCTGCTGCAGTAATCAGAGAAGTGTTGAACTAGCTGAGGTGTTATGTCAATATATCAAGCAACAGTAGCAGTAACAGCAGCAGTAACAGTAGCAGTAATAGTAGCAGTAACAGTAGCAGTAACAGTTGCAGTAATAGCAGTAACAGCAGCAGTAACAGTGGCAGTCACAGTTGTAGGAACCCCCTGTCACTGTGACTTGACTGTCTGGGTAATGAGAGGCCGAGTGTCGAACCTCATCCTATTCAAATTTAGTACATAGTTTTAACCCCCTCCCTTTGCTTCCTCAACCACTATTTCTACCCTTCCACCTTCCCCCATCTCCCCAACTCCATTCCCCATCTCCTCTCCTACCATACCCTGCCACAGGGATTTCGTGACTTGAATTACAACTACCCCCTATCTTCCTTACATCAGACCTGACTACCTCCCATTCCCCAGGTGCTGTCTGACCCCATGGGATTAGCGCATTACTCTGTGTGATGGCGTATGGAAAGGGAACGTGTCATATATAGTGTAGCATCATAGAGAATATAATGTACACGCACACTGTGGGAGCGCTGAAGTGTACTACAGTGTACTTAATTTCGAGAAATAATTTCCACAGTAACAATATGGTTCATTAGCGATGACCTTCAACCTCCACCACCTGAGGAGTTGATACTGCACTTGTTGTCGAGGCTCCTCAGGTCTGGTCTGGTCTGGTCTGGTCTGGTGGCTAAAGCTCCCGCTTCACACACGGAGGGCCCGGGTTCGATTCCCGGCGGGTGGAAATTCCGACACGTTTCCTTACACCTATTGTCCTGTTCACCTAGCAGCAAATAGGTACCTGGGTGTTAGTCGACTGGTGTGGGTCGCATCCTGGGGGACAAGATTAAGGACCCCAATGGAAATAAGTTAGACAGTCCTCGATGACGCACTGACTTTCTTGGGTTATCCTGGGTGGCTAACCCTCCGGGGTTAAAAATCCGAACGAAATCTTATCTTATCTAAGCGGTAGTTTATTAATAACACCCCAGAGCTTTTAAGTGGTAGTGTAAAGGTACTAGAGACTACAAAAGGTTGTTGTCAGACTTTCGTAGGTAGATGATTCTGGCTCTGGACAGCACAGAGCTGTCATCAAATAGCTCACATCTGCTTGATGCAAATTGTGGGTATACTGAGAATGCTTTTAAGTGTCTTGTTTACAGTAAAGTAATGAACCACTTCCTGCAGGGATGACTAACAAATTTAGTTTATCCAACTCATCTCTCCTAGTACTTCCAACTCATCTCTCCTAGTACTTCCAACTCATCTCTTAGTACTTCCAACTCACCTGTTAGCTGGGTAAGTAACGATATCAAATACCGATGAAAAGAAACAAAAACAATCATGTTACCTTCAGTGATGAAGTTTGAGTCATACAGTAGACATGTCACTCTACATCAAACTTCGTCAGTAAATATTCCATACTTCTGCATTTGTGTTGTTTCAGTCTCTGCTCTTACCCGGGAGAACTTAGACTTCAGGTTGACAACAAAATTATAATGACTAGTTTATTTAATGTAAATTTAGCCAGACCATGATCTTAACCATGTTTATGCAGACATATCCAAGGAACAGGAGCTGAACCTTTTTGAATCAAGAGTCCCTTACCGGAATCAAGGTACCCTCCTTGAGGGAGCATTGGAATATCATTCACATCAGTGCCTCCATCAGCTAAACCAGCAGCTGTAAATTACAATACCAATAGTTCTAGCGTGTTAGAAACTTGTATTTACATACCTAATTTTCACTAACAAAAGGGATGTACCTCCCTTCTGGCTGAGTAAAAAAATGGGAACAGGAACTCACACGTACACACCATTATCTTACGCTTGTTGAAGAGATATACTAAAAAAAGGTTATTTATACATCCCGTCACAGTGGCAGGAACGCAGAAGAGGTTAACTAGATGACAGTAGAGCAAGGTAAATTACGATATTATTTACGCCTTGAGTCATGATCGGTTTGGTTTTTCCCATCAGTAATTCTGCAGGAGGTACAGAGATGTTAAATTTCAAACACTCTTGACTCTTCTGTAGCGCTGACTCTGCGGACCTCATCAGACTCTGGGCATTTCCTTCTGTACCAGTCTTCCTCCTGCTTGGTTAACTTCGTATTGTTCCAAGGCCGAAGCGTATTGTATTTGTTAAGGTGTATTGTGTTTGTTAAGGTGTATTATGTTTATCAAGGTGTATTGTGTGTATCAGGGTGTATTACACAAACAGTGTAACATCCTAATCCGTGTATTAATACCCCATGATGTCTCCCCTAACATGAGCTGCAACTCTCACGTCGTGACATCACTAGCGCTGGTGAGTGGTTGCCCAGGTGACGTACCCAACTCAGAATAAAAAGGCACATCCCGTGACTGGAACAATACACAAATAACCCGCACATAGAGGAAAGAAATTAATGACGACCTTTCAGTCCAGTAACTAGTCACATACTGTGTGCCTAGTTAATGGTCCAAGTCGGACCGAAGCGTCGTCTTAAGCTCCTCTATCCTATGTGCGGGTTGTGCAGTGATATACCTCACTGTCTGCTGTGGGGCTCGTTCTCTGAATCCTCTGAATAAGTGTCAGAGTAAATTTAGTTCAGCTGTTGTCGATGACAAACACTAACATTCTTCCTCAAGGAATATGTGGCATGTACAGTGTTCTTGGCTCTGCAGTTCATTTAGCTTTCTGCTATGGGGTATCCATTCTATATTTGGTGCGTGCTGGAAGCACGGTTAGCCAGAGTTCCCTAGGGATAAATGGACCATCCTAAAATTGGTCTGACGTTTCAGTGTGAGACTGGGTAGCCTCAAGCAGTTGCCTCATTTCTAAGAACACCTCAACTAATTGGACTTTTTCGTGCCTCCACCTGGTAAAAACAGTGTTGTAAACCTGCTTCGTCATATGGTTGTGTTATCACCACTGTTTACAAGTCTTATCGTATTCACTTCACTTATTGTTCTCTGTTCATTGTTTATTGTTCATTGTTCACTGGTGCTAGAACCTTGTTTATACGCTCTGGTCTTAAGAACCCCAGTGGAAATAAGTCACTTAGTCTGGCTTTTTTTTTTGAGTAATTTACACATATGTTGTTATGCAAAACAACCACTGTGAAAAATAGTGAAATTCCAAGCGTTTTCATGATTTCTCACATTATCAAGGACCTGTAATATGAGAAATCACGAAATCGCTTAGAATTTAACGTAAGAACATAAGAAAGGAGGAACACTGTTGCACTATTTTTCCACAGTGGTTGTTCTGTATATTGTGATATCACCTGTGTACTGTGATCTTATTGCATATGTTACTATGTATGACAATTTGTGTTACTGTATTTATGTGCACCTGTACTTAAATAAACTTACTAACGTAAGTTAAAATATAAAGCTATAATTGGATATACTTAAATTAATCATTTCTGATTGCACTTTAAGTTTAATATCTTTGTTATGCATACCATACCCGTGGTGTGGGTGGTAGTCAAAAGATTACAGACGTACATACTGGGTCCGGGGACTGGACCACAAAGTTATGATAGTTGAACAAGTTACAGTTTGGGGCCTAGTTGTGTATCCATATGCTCTCGCGCTACCGTCCACAGGATGGATATGGGGTGCACAATAAACTAGCCACTTCGGTGGCAAAATCTAAAATTTAAATCAGTGGTAATGAATTATAAGTTTACATCTGATCACAATCGTAATGAGTTATTTATGCAGACATGAACTGGGTCATTCACATGTAAACAAAACAGTGGTAATGACTGAAGTGACCTCGCTAAGCTGGTTTAAAGTACGACTTTGTATTGCCGGTCCATGACGACGTACACACACACTCGCTCTTTTTTTTTTTATGGGGTGAGCGAGGAATTGAGAATAGTGGAAGAATAAGCTGGCGGAGGAAAGTTGTGAGACGGATAATAACAGGGATTAACCCAGTTGCTAGGAAATTCTGTCTTCCTGTGAGAAACAAAGCTGCCACTGTACGCGGGTTCGGTTATTATTGAGGAGAGAGACGAAGTACATTACAGTTCTTGATGCTTCTTGTGGATTCCCAAGTTAAAGGTGTTGTGTGTTTTTTATTATCAGGATAAGAAGAAAAGTAAAGATCAGCAATTCTTAAAGAGTGGAAAGTATTGAGAGGAGGAAGGCAGGATGGAGGAGGAAGGCAGGATGGAAGAGGAAGGCAGGATGGAGGAGGAAGGCAGGATGGAGGAGGAAGGCAGGATGGAAGACGCTAGGGAAGGAGGCTCGACCATCAACTACGTCAGTGAGCTCAGTACAAAGTGTCCTACCCAACAGACCTTGACCAAGGTAAGGACCAGCTGCACTGTTTATGTACACAAGCTAGTATACCCCCGTGGTGTACATTCCCGTGGTGCACATCCCTGTGGTGTACATTCCCGTGGTGCACATCCCTGTGGTGTACATTCCCGTGGTGCACATCCCTGTGGTGTACATTCCCGTGGTGCACATCCCTGTGGTGTACACTCCCGTCGTGTATACTCCCGCGAGAGTATACATCACAGGAGTGTATACCAAGGGAGTGTACAACACGGGGGTGTACACCACGGGGGTGTACACCACGGGGGTGTACATTCCCGTGGTGCACACCCTTGTAGTGTGCACTCCCGTCGTGTATACTCCCGCGAGAGTATACATCACAGGAGTGTATACCAAGGGAGTGTACAACACGGGGGTGTACACCACGGGGGTGTACACCACGGGGGTGTACACCACGGAGGTGCACACCACGAGACTGTACACCACGGGAGTGTACACCACGGGGGTGTACACCACGGGGGTGTACACCACGGGGATGCACACCACGAGTGTACACCACGGGAGTGTACACTCCCGTGCAGCTCGGGCCCCGAGCTGCACGCCCACCCGCGCCTGCGCCCACCCGCGTCCACCCGTGTCCACGCCCACCCGCGCCCGCACCCACCCACGCCCGCACCGACCCACGCTGCCCCTTCAGTGTTTTCTGCAGCGCCGTCCGGATCGCCCCCGCCCCCCGAATTTTTTCAGATTTTTTTCGATTTTTTTTGAATTTCATTTTCTTGTGCTCCCCATCTCCTTGGATCAAGATTTACCCTCCATCCCCCCCACACCTCCCACCACCCACTCCCATCTCTCATACCATCTATGTCCAAATGTTCCTGCTCCACTTCCTCAGATCAAGACCCCCTCTCCATCTCCCCCCAAAATTTCCATTTTCTTGTAGTCTCCACCTCCTCGGATCAAGATTTAACCCCTCTTTCCTCAAAATTTCGATTTTTCAATAATACAAAGAAAAAGATGACTTTACCCTTCACTTCCTTGGATCAAGAACACCCTCCCACACACCATCACCCTCTAAGCCCAAATATTCCTGCTCCATCTCCTTGGATCAAGACTTCCTTCTCCCTCACACCACCCTCTAAACCCAACATTCCTACTCCACTTCCTTGGATCAACTTATTCTCGATATCAATAATACAAAGATTTGAGCTACTCTCCACTTCCTTGGATCAAATTTTTGGGTCCTCCCTATACAGGTCTAAACAAGTAACTTCCTCTTAAACGAACTGACATGAATGACATCACCCCACCTGTGTTTACTCGGCGGTCAGTGACGTCACATGATGACCTCACTCAGGACACAACAGGATTGATCAAGCTGGGTCACTCAGCAGTCAGTGACGTCACATGATGACCTCACTCAGGATACAACAGGATTGATCAAGCTGGGTCACTCAGCGGTCAGTGACGTCACATGATGACCTCACTCAGGACACAACAGGATTGATCAAGCTGGGTCACTCAGCAGTCAGTGACGTCACATGATGACCTCACTCAGGACACAACAGGATTTGATCAAGCTGGGTCACTCAGCGGTCAGTGACGTCACATGATGACCTCACTCAGGACACAACAGGATTGATCAAGCTGGGTCACTCAGCAGTCAGTGACGTCACATGATGACCTCACTCAGGATACAACAGGATTGATCAAGCTGGGTCACTCAGCGGTCAGTGACGTCACATGATGACCTCACTCAGGACACAACAGGATGATCAAGCTGGGTCACTCAGCAGTCAGTGACGTCACATGATGACCTCACTCAGGACACAACAGGATTGATCAAGCTGGGTCACTCAGCAGTCAGTGACGTCACGTGATGACCTCACTCAAGACACAACAGGATTGATCAAGCTGGGTCACTCAGCAGTCAGTGACGTCACATGATGACCTCACTCAGGACACAACAGGATTGATCAAGCTGGGTCACTCAGCGGTCAGTGACGTCACATGATGACCTCACTCAGGACACAACAGGATTGATCAAGCTGGGTCACTCAGCGGTCAGTGACGTCACATGATGACCTCACTCAGGACACAACAGGATTGATCAAGCTGGGTCACTCAGCAGTCAGTGACGTCACATGATGACCTCACTCAGGACACAACAGGATTGATCAAGCTGGGTCACTCAGCGGTCAGTGACGTCACGTGATGACCTCACTCAGGACACAACAGGATTGATCAAGCTGGGTCACTCAGTGGTCAGTGACGTCACGTGATGACCTCACTCAAGACACGACAGGATTGATCAAGCTGGGTCACTCAGTGGTCAGTGATGTCACATAATGACCTCACTCAAGACACAACAGGATTGATCAAGCTGGGTCACTCAGCAGTCAGTGACGCCACGTGATGACCTCACTCAAGACACAACAGGATTGATCAAGCTGGATCACTCAGCAGTCAGTGACGTCACATGATGACCTCACTCAGGACACAACAGGATTGATCAAGCTGGGTCACCCAGTGGTCAGTGAAGTCACATGATGACCTCACTCAAGACACAACAGGATTGGTCAAGCTGGGTCACTCAGCGGTCAGTGACCTCACGTGATGACCTCTCTCAGGACACAACAGGATTGATCAAGCTAGGTCACTCAGCGCTCAGTGACGTCACGTGATGACCTCACTCAGGACACAACAGGATTGATCAAGCTGGGTCACTCAGCGGTCAGTGACGTCACGTGATGACCTCACTCAGGACACAACAGGATTGATCAAGCTGGGTCACTCAGCGGTCAGTGACGTCACGTGATGACCTCACTCAGGACACAACAGGATTGATCAAGCTAGGTCACTCAGCGGTCAGTGACGTCACGTGATGACCTCACTCAGGACACAACAGGATTGATCAAGCTGGGTCACCCAGTGGTCAGTGAAGTCACATGATGACCTCACTCAGGACACAACAGGATTGATCAAGCTGGGTCACTCAGCGGTCAGTGACATCACATGATGACCTCACTCAGGACACAACAGGATTGATCAAGCTGGGTCACCCAGTGGTCAGTGAAGTCACATGATGACCTCACTCAAGACACAACAGGATTGATCAAGCTGGGACACTCAGCGGTCAGTGACGTCACGTGATGACCTCACTCAGGACACAACAGGAATGATCAAGCTAGGTCACTCAGCGGTCAGTGACGTCACATGACGACCTCATTCAAGACACGACAGGATTGATCAAGCTGGGCCACTCAGCGGTCAGTGACGTCACCTGATGACCTCACTCAAGACAAAACAGGATTGATCAAGCTGGGTCACTCAGTGGTCAGTGACGTCACATGATGACCTTATTCAAGACACGACAGGATTGATCAAGCTGGGTCACTCAGCGGTCAGTGACGTCACGTGATAACCTCACTCAGGACACAACAGGATTGATCAAGCTGGATCACTCAGCGGTCAGTGACATCACGTGATGACCTCACTCAAGCCGCCTTCCCCACTACTCAAGTGTACACCCACCACTTGTGTACAACACCTTCCATGTACACATCTAATGCGTACACATCCACTTATCACAACATTCAACATGGTTAGAGGCATTATTTATTTTAATCGGGAAGGACGCTAACCCGTAGGGGTCATATAAAACCTGTGAAATAGGAGTCCTTGAAGTTTACTCCAAAGTAAGGGAGAGTAAGTCTAGTTCCTTGGATCAAGAGCCCCTCACCTCACCTCGAGCTGATGTGTAATAGTGGTATAAGGAAATCAAGCAATAATATGGTATAAAATCTGGTATATAAGAATGGTATTACGGCTTTTTCAATAGAATTAAACACCCATATGGCTTATAAAATTATTCTCAATGTCTGTATAGTTAGTACAACACAGTTGCTGAAACGTTTCGTCTATACAGTAGATTTCTTCAGTCAAATACAGAGTGTAGGTAGCAGAAATGATGAGGTATAGTTGGAGGTGGTCAGTCCCTCAGCCTGGAGAAGAGTTCAGCTCCATGGTCTGAAGAAACATACAACTTACTTATAATTTACCAGTTCCTTGTGTAGCCTGCTAATATTTATGTATTTTAGATAATGCAAGATTATTTAGACATAAGTCATGTATACATGAATGGTATACACTACCCACAAAATGAAGAATTAAACACATATGCAACATCTGGGTATCTTTATTGTAGACGTTTCGCCCTTCAGTGGCTTTATCAGTACAATACAAGGATATAATGTGAAGAATGTAGAACTATATACAGAAGATGAGGTAATCAGTCCCTCAGTCTTGGAGCAGCGTTGTCGGTGCTCCCAACACCAACTCCAAGGCTGAGGGACTGATTACCTCAGATTTTGTCCTTGTAATGATAAAGCCACTGGTTGGCAAAATGTCTACAAATAAAGATACCTAGATGTTGCACATGTGTCTAATTCTTACACACCCGAATGTGTGTAATGGGGACAGTGTAGTACTGCAGAGGCTGGAGGCCAGAGTTAAGTGATGGCTGTGTTCTACTTAGGTCACGTGTTAGGTTAGGTTAGGTAAGATTCGTCAGGAAACAGGACAAATGTTTCCTGATCCGCCACCGGAGTTTATGGTCGTCTGACCGAGGCCTTCCGCTGGCTCTCAAATACTATTTCTCCAAAGTTTATGAACTGATTACATCATCTTTACTTCGCAACTATACCTGCTGTCTCCGTATTTGACTGAAGAAGCCTACTGTGTAGGCGAAACGCTTCAGTAATAAAGATACCCAACTGTTGCACATGTCGTATTCGGGAAAGACAGGATTCGAGATTTTAAGCCCTTAGAACCCTATGTTGACTATCCTAGTACTTGCTTCTTGGTGTACATGAGTGTACTAAGCAAGCCTTGTTAGTGGGTTTCCTGTACACAGATTCAGTTCCCATTCATTCCTGCAAAGCAAACCAAAGAGAGGGTAAGTAAATAGTCCAGAGGACACGGTAAGCATAGCTAGTATGACACACTTAGCTATTACAATCAGACCTGTATAACTGGTGATGACCCAAGCTGCTGGACAGGTGTGCGGCGTGTGCGGGGAGCCGGCCAAGAGTGTCCACTTCGGGGGTGTCAGCTGCTCATCCTGCAAGTCCTTCTTCAGGAGAAGCGTCCAGGGAAGCCTCTACACCACCTTCCTCTGCGTCTTGGACCAGCGATGCCCTCTTCAGCAGAATCGCAGATGTTGTCAAGCGTGCAGGTGAGTCAGAGGGAAACAGGAAATCAACTTGGCTATCATAAAAAATAAAAAGGCACAATACCGTGAGTGGAACAACACACAAATAACCTGTACTTAGGAGAGAGGAGCTTTTGACGACGTTATGGTCCATTAACAAGTCACACTAAAACACGAAGGTGAGGGAGCTGGTATATATAGGAGAGATGGGTCTGGGACGATGTTGCTACAGATATCTTAGTCTTTTTTTTAATAAGTTTGTAAAGTCAAATAATATTTTAACTCTTTGTTATCCCAGACAGAACTTGTTTCAAGCCATTTCCCGTTTGAATTACGAAGATGAAGTCATTTTTACTGTGATCACCATCATAGAACTTACTGTGATCACCATCACAGAACTTACTGTGATCACCATCACAGAACTTACTGTGATCACCATCACAGAACTTACTGTGATCATCATCACAGAACTTACTGTGATCACTATCACAGAACTTACTGTGATCACCATCACAGAACTTACTGTGATCACCATCACAGAACTTACTGTGATCACCATCACAGAACTTACTGTGATCACCATCACAGAACTTACTGTGATCACCATCACAGAACTTACTGTGATCATCATCACAGAACTTACTGTGATCACTATCACAGAACTTACTGTGATCACCATCACAGAACTTACTGTGATCACCATCACAGAACTTACTGTGATCACCATCACAGAACTTACTGTGATCACCATCACAGAACTTACTGTGATCACCATCACAGAACTTACTGTGATCACCATCACAGAACTTACTGTGATCACCATCACAGAACTTACTGTGATCACCATCACAGAACTTATTGTGATCACCATCACAGAACTTACTGTGATCACCATCACAGAACTTACTGTGATCACCATCACAGAACTTACTGTGATCACCATCACAGAACTTACTGTGATCACCATCACAGAACTTACTGTGATCATCATCACAGAACTTACTGTGATCACCATCACAGAACTTACTGTGATCACCATCACAGAACTTACTGTGATCACCATCACAGAACTTACTGTGATCACCATCACAGAACTTACTGTGATCACCATCACAGAACTTACTGTGATCATCTTCACAGAACTTACTGTGATCACCATCACAGAACTTACTGTGATCACCATCACAGAACTTACTGTGATCACCATCACAGAACTTACTGTGATCACCATCACAGAACTTACTGTGATCACCATCACAGAACTTGCTGTGATCACCATCACAGAACTTACTGTGATCACCATCACAGAACTTATTGTGATCACCATCACAGAACTTACTGTGATCACCATCACAGAACTTACTGTGATCACCATCACAGAACTTACTGTGATCACCATCACAGAACTTACTGTGATCATCATCACAGAACTTACTGTGATCACCATCACAGAACTTACTGTGATCATCATCACAGAACTTACTGTGATCACCATCACAGAACTTACTGTGATCATCATCACAGAACTTACTGTGATCACCATCACAGAACTTACTGTGATCACTATCACAGAACTTACTGTGATCACTATCACAGAACTTACTGTGATCACTATCACAGAACTTACTATGATCACTATCACAGAACTTACTGTGATCACCATCACAGAACTTACTGTGATCACCATCACAGAACTTACTGTGATCACCATCACAGAACTTACTGTGATCACCATCACAGAACTTACTGTGATCACCATCACAGAACTTACTGTGATCACCATCACAGAACTTACTGTGATCACCATCACAGAACTTACTGTGATCACCATCACAGAACTTATTGTGATCACCATCACAGAACTTACTGTGATCACCATCACAGAACTTACTGTGATCACCATCACAGAACTTACTGTGATCACTATCACAGAACTTACTGTGATCACCATCACAGAACTTACTGTGATCACCATCACAGAACTTACTGTGATCACCATCACAGAACTTACTGTGATCACCATCACAGAACTTACTGTGATCACCATCACAGAACTTACTGTGATCACCATCACAGAACTTACTGTGATCACCATCACAGAACTTACTGTGATCACCATCACAGAACTTATTGTGATCACCATCACAGAACTTACTGTGATCACCATCACAGAACTTAAAGAGTATAATCAGATTCATAATTTTCTAAATATATAAGCGCGAGATTATTTATACCTGAGAGTCTTCTTACCAGAGACTGGTCACAGTTCGGGCCTCTTAGTGAACGGAGGATCAAGCCTTCAAAGCTCCGTGTGCTAACTGATTCACATGTGTTTACCCATCATTAAATATCAACACGTTATCAGGGCTTGCAATGTTGCAGAAATAGTGCAGGAAATCCAAGACGTTTCGTTTAAAGGAACGGCTCTCTCAGGAGAGCCGTTCCCTTGAACGAATCTTTCTGGATATCCTCCTCCTTTTCTGCAACACTGCAAGCTCATGATATGCTGATTGCAACACGAAAAGCCTAGAGCTATCATTAGTTAGTTTAACATGTTTATAATGCACACCATACCCATGGCGTGGGGGGTAGTCAACAGATTACAGAGGTACATAATGGGTCCTGGAACTGGGCTACAAAGTTATGATAGCTGAGCAAGTTACAAAGGTAATGAACTCCAGGTAGATTTGGTCACAATCATGACAAGTTACAAAGGTAATGAATTTTCTACACGTCTATACATGGTCACAATCATGAAGAAATTATAAAGTAATGAGCCACTCACACGTCCACACCTGGTCACAACTGTAATGAGTTATTAGTGTAAATATTAATTGGGTCTCACACACACACACACACACACACACACACACACACACACACACACACACACACACACACACACACACACACACACACACACAGGACCTAGTAGCGATCAGTGAAGAGGCAGGGTCAGGAGCTGAGTCTCGACCCCTGCAACCACAATTAGGTGAGTACACACATAAGGAATCGTTCAGGTCCCTGTACACAGTGTATGTCAGGCCTATATTGACGTATGCAGCACCAGTTTGGAGCTCACGCTTAGCCAAACACGTACGGAAATTAGAGAAAGTGCAAATGTTTACAACAAGACTAGTCCCGGAGTTAAGGGGCATGTCCTACGAGGAAAGGTTAAGGGAAATGGACCTGACGACATAGCTATCATTAAACTTCCCCTGTGGTTATTTTGCATCTTTTATCGCTCGTTCGCGATTATTGTGTCATGAAAAATAAAATTAATCATGTGCATTTTTTTGTACGCCAGGTTCAGGAAGTGTCGCGAGATCGGGATGAACCCTGCGTTGGTGATGAGCGAAGAAGAAAGGAACGCCCTGAGGTCACGACGTCTGGAGAGGAAGAAACAACAACTTCTTAAACACCTCCGCAACAAACACAACACCTGCGCTGACAATACCTGCGATAAACATGAAAGTCTAGAGGAAGAATATGTGGATCAGGTGACGGAACCCATGGATCAGGTGACAGAACCCATGGATCAGGTGATGGAACCCATGGATCAGGTGACAGAACCCACGGATCAACAGTATGGATACACACATCAAAAGGAACTCTTTGACCAGAGCAAACTTACATACAACGATGGACTCGCGGACAGAGATGAATACAAGGGCGAAATCAAACTGGAAGAACAGGTAGTATATGAAAACAAATACAGTCTCACAGACGAAGATGCATTACAAGAGGAAGACAACATCATAAAGCAGGAAGGCACTAACATGAGCTGTGAGAGCCACGAGGAAAAAAGACACAATCATTGTTTAAAGACCTTGAGCTACGAGGACACAGAGACTATCACAGCTTTGCAAAAAATACTGAGGAAGTCCATGTCGTTTCCAGATTTTCCAAAACACTACTATGAGAAGGATGCTGATGTTATAGAACATCTCTTATTCTTGTTCTGTAAGGCCATGGGAGAGTTTTTCAGAGCTACTCCCGACTTTAGAAAAGTGGAACCGAAAGACCAAAGCGTCCTTCTCAAAGAGGCAGTAGCTAAATCAATGTTTATATTCGGGGCTCATCAGTATCAGCAGCACCTGGAGTGTTGGCCGCGGAGACTTCTGACTCCCTCTTGCACCTTCCCAAAGGTAACAATGGCAGCCGTTTACAAGTGCCTCAGCGACCGCCTTATATTTACAAAGATAAAGACCTTCATGAGTAAATACTGCTGCTTCTTCGCCGACGAGATAGTGACACTGTTGAGCCTCATGTTGGCGGTATTTGAGCACGACGAGCCACTGGTGAACGCTGGTGGGGAGGTGGAAGCAAACAGAGAAAAATACCTCTGCCTACTTCAGAGATACCTCACGCTTAGAGATCCAAACGTTTTTCCAGATGCCATCATCTCAGAGCTCTGGATGTGTTTTGCCGAAGTTCGGGAACTTACTGTCTGCTTTAAGAGCAGCAGCAGCGATGAAACAACAGCCACCTTAAACACTCTGGGCGAACAAGAAACTGCTCTCGCCAGTTCCTTCCATGGGCTTGGGGAAGACACCATGATGGCTCCGAAAAAGGCATTCCACAAAAGGAATATCAAAATGACCGAGGAGAAAGAGTCTTCAGATATTATATTTCTTGAAGAGATACAAAAAAATTCTAAAGCCCAAAACAGCCGAGAGGAGACATCTTTTATTGGCTCGTCCATACATAAGCCTGGGAGGGAAAAGTTAGGTAGCATGGGCGGGGACACAGTGATATCCCCGGGAACATCTGCTTCAGTACATGATCATAACTACCAAAAATCAGGGCCGAACATGTCTGCACGCTCTCAGAATTATATCAATCCTGAAAGACCAACATTAAGAATAAAAGAAGTAGACATTACACCTTTACCTCCAGACCACAGATCAAGCCAAAACTACAGACCCACAACTTTTGTCAGTTTGCCTTCACAGGCAAACTTACCTTTACTTACCTATGGAATTGCTTCTGGTGGTACAATAGAGACGCAAAATCCTAGATATTCTCAGTGCAGAGATGATCTTCAAGGACTTGGAAACTCTTGCTATCCTTCAGAAGAACTTAGCGTGCTGGCTGAGCCTGCCATGGGTCCCAGCAGTGTTCAGTCTCACACTCACACAGCCAGCCACTTCTCTGTTCATGGATCCCCGCCCTCACACCAAAGTATAACACGCAACACTGTCGACCCCAGATATTGCTTGTCATCAAACTTGACTCAATCTCAACGTGAAATGCTACAGAGACTCAACCTTCCGGGTACAGCGACGCCTCTGCAGGACGCCCCTAGCCAACACTTGTATCAGCAGTCTTCACTTAGGCGTCACCTGGAGCCAGCTTGCCACCCAGGTCACTCAAGTCATCAAGGTGTTCAACCGGAGTATTACCTTCCCAGAGAGTCTCCCAGAGGCAGGTCACCTCTGTATCCCAGAGAACAATTATCTCTACCTCACACACACTCATTAGCTAGAGTTGTCTACCATGGTGAGCACCCCTCTTCACCGTTTATGTACTCTCCAGCTAGGGTCCCTTCTCCTTTTACACTCTCCCCAGTTAGGGCCCTCTATCACAGCGAGGTCCTCTCTCCACCCTCATCGCACATCACGGTGAGGCCCCCGTCCTACGACGATAGTTATGTCGTAAACTCGCCGACGGGAAGCCTCTATCAGAGAAAGGATAGCTCCTCCCTCTCACACACTCCTGAAGAAGCCATGCTAGGGGCCAGCAGCCGCGCGGATGAGCAGGTTCTGAGAGCCGTGGAGGGCGTCTTACCTAAAAAATTAGTGAAACATCTTGCAGCCAGACTCCGCACCACCCCACGACACTCTACCTAGACGTTATCTGTCCCTCTTTCCTTCCCCACCTTGACACATCTACGTGGACCGAACCTCATGTGACTAATAGATAAGTTTTATACTTATTTTAAACTATATATATTTTTAAAATGTAAATAAAAAAAGAGCATCAAGACTTATCACTGTAGTTAACATCATCAGACACCACTTCTAAGAAAATAAATCACATTGACTCTTGGTACAATATACTTAATGTGCTCTGTATGTTCCCTTAACAATTGTAAAAAACTTTGTACATGTACCCAAAGCCTAAGTAAAAAGTTTTGTTATACTCAACTATGCGTGATGAATTTCCTGTCACATTATCAGCCAATCAGAGATTCCTTTCATACTTCATTACAAGATGAGTTTCCTTTAAAATAGTCATGCATATTGAGCTTCACACACTCTAATAAAGGTCAGTGTAAGGTGGAACACTTTAGCAGGACGATGGGACTATCAAGTGTTTCACTCTGGGATGAGCAGCTGCCACACTTTATAAAGGTCTTCTTGCAGCAGGACCGGAGTTACTTAAACAAGGAGTTTCCATTCAGACACTGAGATAAGTGTTAATTTTATAACATTAGCTTGAGACAAGGAATGTGTATACCTGGGTAGTGTTGCTAAAACAGAAGATGTGAAAGACTAAGGTACCTCTGGAAATATTCACCCGGACTATCATGAAAACCCGCCTCTGTACAAAGGCGCATACACTGTAGGAATAAACTTAACCTGTAGAGCACATTCTGTTGATGGAGAGGCGCTAAATACGTCACACAACGCCTAGGAAACCTGAGGTAACCAGGTGGGACACCTATATTTACATGAAACAAGAACCTCTGACCTGCATATAGCCACTAATTACCCTTGAAGGATGGCGCCTGACTAACCTAAACATTACGTAGCCATCTAAGGAGGTTCAGACACTGAGTTTCTCCTGCTATAACAAAAATAAGAAAAACTAAATATCACCCTCAAGCTAAACTTTATTTTTTCACAAAACTTCCTCTAGACAGTTGAGCTGTGAGTCTGCTTCAATTACCTCTCCTTCTGGGACTCGTGTATTAACCTCTGCATGGCAGTGTGCTCACACAGACTGCACATACATGCACTCACATTGTGAACACGACTTTCTAGTACACACTCTTTTGACTCACCTAATTTCTTGCACCTGATTCATTGTTTGGGTACATACGTATTCGGGCTGGTTAACCGGGTTTAAATAATATCGACTACACGCTCTTTATTAAGGCTACATGTAACCTGCTTTTTTTTATTATTGTACACAAATCAGTTTTACGGGTTAAGAGCTGCTATCTAACCTCAACCCATTTCAAAGCCCAGTCCTGTACTACCACCTCCCCCAGGATGCGACCCACACCAGTCGACTGACACCCAGGTACTTACTGCTAGGTGAAAAGGGACAGCAGGTGTAAGGAAACACGACCAACGTTTCTACCCGTACCGGGGATCAAACCACAGACACTAAGTGCGCTAGCAACTGGATCTGGTAACCTTCGAGACCCACAAATTACTAAGTCTACCCAGGAGGTTTCCCCAAAAAGTGACTACTATTAGCGACATTCGAGCTTTCTTAAATCTTTTATGTATTACACGTACTGAACATGTGTGTTTCCTTGTGGGTGTACGTACTTTATTAAGCCCATCAAACGCGACTGTCACTTCGGAAATCCAGCGATGATTCACTTTATGCTGAGAGAAACAATGATGATAAGACACATGTGCAGCAGTTAGGTATCTTTATTCCTAAACGTTTCGCCTACATAGTAGGCTTCTTCGGTCGAGTACAGAGGAAGCAGCAGAAGCAGTAGAGATGTGAACATGATGTAATCAGTCCATCACCCTTGAGATGTTGTTTTGAGGTGGTCAGTCCCTCAGCCTGGAGTTGATGTGTTCGGTCTATCAGTCTTGACGGATCGTTTCCCACCGAGACAGGGTCAACCGAGAAAGAAAAAGCACTTTCATCATCATTCACTCCATCGCTGTCTTGCCAGAGGTACACCTACACTACACTTAAAAAATAAAACATATCAACACCCGTCCAAAAGAGCGCAGGCAGTGTATTATCCACCTCCAGGACTCAAGTCCAGCTAACCGGTTTAACTGAATCCCTTCATAAATGTTACCTTGCTCACACTAACAGCACGTCAAGCCCTATAAAGCACTTGTCTCCATTCACTCCTGTCTAACACGCTCACGCATGCTTGCTGGAAGTCCACTCCCCTCGCAAATAAAACCTCTTTTACCCCTTCGCTCCAACCTTTCCTAGGCCGATCCCTACCCCATCTTCCTTCCACTACAGATTTATATGCCTTTCAAGTCGTTCTATTTTGTTTCATCCTGTCTAAATGTCCAAACCACCTCAACAAACTCAGCTCTCTGGATAATAATAATTTTAGTAACCCTGCACCTCCTTCTACTTTCCAAGGTACGGATTCTCTGCATTATATTCACACCACACATTGCCCTCAGACACGACATCTCAGCTGCCTCCAGCCTTCTCCTTGTTGCAACATTCATCACCCATGCTTTACACACATATAAAAGCATTGGTATAGCTATACTCTGTTTGCACCTGGGAATACGACACAATGTAATATTTAGATGCGCTCAGAGAAAGTGATTCTCAATATTATATTGCAAAGATCTTCATTAATAGCTAAAATGAAGGTGTTTGGCTTTGCATTATTATCTGTCACTACAGTTACCATGGTACTATAATTATTATTTCTATTATTATTATTAGAACTGTAAATAGGTAGGATCAATTTATTTTATAATGTGAACAACCACGATGGTGGGAAACCATCACGTCACATACTGTTAACTAATTTAAGCTCTAGCTTACGCGGGCTGGGTCACGTGATTCAACCTCATGTCAGGTTAACAGACTCCGGGTCAAGCAGTCTGTGTCCTGGTCCAGCCCTGAGTACACAGAATATATTTCTCCTCTCGTTGTTTGGTTAAGTTTCGAAATTGTTTGAGAATCAGAGTTCCAGGTGACTCTAAGTTTACTCGGTATATTGTTGGAAAACTGAATTATTCCAAGTCTCGTTCAGTTGTGCAGTCTTTGGACGTATATGTCATTCAGACATTGGTCGTTTGTCTATTTTCCTATATTATAGGAGATAAATCTTCTCGTTGTGCATAACTACGTTTAGACGTAGTTGGCAGTATTAGTGTCTAGCCACTATTTGAGGTTAATGGCTGGGGTTGTCACTAGTAACTCTCTATCTCCCAGTACAGCATCAAGGGCAGATCTATTAAATGATCTTGTATGTGCAAAACATAGCTCTGCACGCCCCTTCCCCCTCCGTCCCCCCTTATCCCTGCACCTGCCTATTTTTACAAGCAAAACAGGGTCCCTGTAGTCGAAGGTCAGGGTCAGGGCTTGAGTAAAATGGAAATTGTCTTCCTCGTAGTTCATTAGAAAAACGACTTAAAATGTAATTAATATACTTTTTTCGTACAACTTGTGTAGCTCCGGATATATTTCGACTTTTTTGGCTGTGACTTAATTGGCGTAATTACGTCGACTTAGTAGTAACTGTTGTTACGGCCCTATCCTGTACATTCTACAAGATTGATGGACTGAACACATCAACTCCAGGCTGAGGGACTGATTACCTCAAACTCCTTCTCTCCTTACACCTTTCTGCTTTGTATTGGACTGATGAAGCCACTGTGTGGCGAAACGTTTCCTGAATAAAGATTCCCATATGTTGCATAAGTGTCTCACTCTTCAACTTGTCATTTTTTCAAACCATTCATCACGTTCATATAAGTATGCAAGATGCAGAACCCCCAGAGGGGAGAGTTGAATGATAACTCTAGGCCTCTCGAGTTGCTATCAACACATCATTAGGAGCTTCCAATGTTGAACAAATGAGTAAGCGATCTCATATCTGAGATCGGTTACTCATTTCTGTAACATTCAGGACCGGGTTTGTGGGAGCCCTGGGGCACCGCATCTTGTGGGGGCCCTGGGACGCCGCATCTTGTGGGGGCCCTGGGACGCCGCATCTTGTGGGAGCCCTGGGGCACCGCATCTTGTGGGGGCCCTGGGGCACCGCATCTTGTGGGGGCCCTGGGACGCCGCATCTTGTGGGGGCCCTGGGACGCCGCATCTTGTGGGGGCCCTGGGGCGCCGCATCTTGTGGGGGCCCTGGGACGCCGCATCTTGTGGAGGCCCTGGGGCGCCGCATCTTGTGGGGGCATTGGGACGCCGCATCTTATGGGGGCCCTGGGACGCCGCATCTTGTGGGGGCCCTGGGGCGCCGCATCTTGTGGGGGCATTGGGACGCCGCATCTTATGGGGGCCCTGGGACACCGCATCTTGTGAGGGCCCTGGGACGCCGCATCTTGTGGGGGCCCTGGGGCGCCGCATCTTGTGGGGACCCTGGGACGCCGCATCTTGTGGGGGCCCTGGGGCGCCGTATCTTGTGGGGGCATTGGGACGCCGCATCTTATGGAGGCCCTGGGACGCCGCATCTTGTGGGGGCCCTGGGGAGCCTCATCTTGTGAGGGCCCTGGGACGCCGCATCTTGTGGGGGCCCTGGGGAGCCGCATCTTGTGGGGGCCCTGGGACGCCGCATCTTGTGGGGACCCTGGGGTGCCGCATCTTGTTGGGGTCCTGGGGCGCCGCATCTTGTGGGGACCCTGGGGCGCCGCATCTTGTTGGGGTCCTGGGGCGCCGCATCTTGTGGGGGCCCTGGGGCGCCGCATCTTGTGAGGGCCCTGGGGTGCCGAATCTTGTGGGGGCCCTGGGACGCCGCATCTTGTTGGGGTCCTGGGGCGCCGCATCTTGCGGGGACCCTGGGGCGCCGCATCTTGTGGGGGCCCTGGGACGCCACATCTTGTGGGGGCCCTGGGACGCCGCATCTTGTGGGGGGTCCTGGGGCGCCGCATCTTGTGAGAGCCCTGGGGCGCCGAATCTTGTGGGGGCCCTGGGGCTCCGCATCTTGCGGGAACCCTGGGGCGCCGCATCTTGTGGGGGCCCTGGGACGCCGCATCTTGTGGGGGCCCTGGGACACCGCATCTTGTGGGGGCCCTGGGACACCGCATCTTGTGGGGGCCCTGGGGCGCCGCACCTTGTTGGGGTCCTGGGGCGCCGCATCTTGTGGGGAACCTGGGGCGCCGCATCTTGTGAGGGCCCTGGGACGCCGCATCTTGTGGGGGCCCTGGGACGCCGCATCTTGTGGGGG